GGACTGTCTGTGGGGTTTATGGCAGAGTGTGGGGCCGTGTGGGGTCCCTGGTGGGGTGTGGGACCGTGTGAGGGGTCCCTTGTGGGGAAGGAGGCTCTCTGTGGGGTGCCTAGTGGGGTGTGGGGGCTCTGGTGGGGTGTGGGGCCGTGTGAGGGGTCCCCCATGGGAATGGGGACTGCTTGTGGGGCTCCTGGCAGGGTGTGGGGCTGTGTGGGGGCCCTGTTGGGGTGTGGGGCCATGTGAGGTGTCCCCTATGGGGAAGGGGGCTCTCTATGGGGTGGTGCACGAGGACCCCAGGAGGCATGGGGCTGGGGGACGGCCCTGGCTGGGCAGGCTGAGTGGGGGGCTCGGGGCCGCCATCGCCCCGTCGAGGCCTGCCCGCTGCCCGCCGCCTGCCGCTCTGTGTTCCAGAACAAGATCGTGGACCGGTGCGAGCGGCTCCAGCTGCAGAGCGCTGCCATCGCCCGGCACGTGGATGAGGTGCTGCCTGCCAAGGACCAGGGCGTCCTGGTGAGTCCCTGCCCCTTCTCCCAGCGCAGCGTGGAGCATGCTGGCCCCGCGTGCCCCCCGTTCCTGGTGGAGATGCTGAGCTCTTGCGGGGCTTGTTGGTGTGCAGGGGTTGTCCCTCTCCTACCCCACAGCTTGTGCAAGTGGAGTGCCAGGGTGCGCCTGCGATTCCTGCTTCATCTGCCTAAAAAATGCACACAAACAGTGAATTTCTTGGTGTTAGCCATCAAACATCCCACTAGGACCAGTGTCTTACCGATTCCTGATTTTATTTGTGCCTCACTGTCACTGAGGACAAAAGACAGTTCTCGTGGTGGCTCTGTTTCTCGCTAACAGCGAATCCAGAATGGTCTGCTGAGGGATGGGACTCTGGTCCCTCGCGGGTTGTCACTTAGGTACCAGGGTTAGGCCAGGAGGCAGTGGGCAGGTTTGGGACTGGTTGTCCACTTTACCTCTCCTTGCATCGTGATGATTACTGTGGCTTGGGCTCAATTAACAGAGTAATCTTAACAGCTGAGCCCACAGAAAGCCAGCAGAAGCGGTTGGTGCTCTTGTTGGGGTTGAAGCAAGGCTGATGTTTCTCCTCTCTCCTTGCTCTGGCAGAACGCAGCCAACGCAGCGCGGGAGCTGGTAATCCAGAGGCTGATCTTCGTGGGGAACGCGTGTGAAAATGAAGAACAGCGGTTGCTGGAGAAGGTGCACGTGGAGGAGGAGCGGGTGCACCAGAGCATCCTGACCCAGCGGGTGCACTGGACTGAGGCTTTGCAGAAGCTGGCTGCCCTCCGAACCTACCTGGTGGACATGATCACCAACCTGGATGACCAGGGCCTGGTGGTGAGTACTGCTCCTTGTACCGAGGGACAGGTCAGTCAGCCCAGAAGTGACCTAGACTTTTTATCGTGGATATTATGGGACTTAAATACAGTGTTCAGCAGCTTGCTGCACTGACAGCAAGGAGGCAGAGTTGGAACAGGACCTATGTTTGCAGGCCTAGCTCAAGGAACCTCCTTCACCTGGTCCTGACAAGCCCCTGTGGTTTCTTGGTGGTTCCTAGAGCATCTGCTCTGCCCAATTCTGCTTTTGCTTGCGGTGAGGTTCAGAACCACCCAGGCTCAGGTCTCCAAGCTCTTGGCTTGAAGCTGCCGGCTCTCAGATGCCCTTAGGCTCGACAGCCAGGACGGCTATGGCTTGAGAGCTGCTCTTACAGCAGTCGGTTGGGCCACCAGTTTTCTAGTGTTTTGTATAGTTTTAATCAAAACGTGACCCTTGGGAGCACCTGCAGCTCTTCTTGAAGGTCTGCCCTGTTGTCTGGCATACCTCTGATTGGGGTATTTACTGTGCAAAGCAGCCCATGCTTCCCTTCACTCCGT